CATGGCATCTTAAGGAATAAATAAACATAGAAAGTGATTATTCTAATGTCAATATTTGGAGCTGGAATAGAACATTTGTGTTGAATAAGTGTGTGTAAATCTTCTAGCACGTACTTCCGTTCTGAATTGTTTATCCCGAAGGACAAAAAACTACTGAAGAACGCGTAGATATGTCTATAGATATTTGTGCTATTACCTGATTTGAGATTTTTACTGCATCTCTTTTCACAGAAGATGGGTAATTTCTAATTTAATCCCGTTATCCTACGCATAGGAGCTGGGTTGGCCGCAGATACGGGGTGGAACCAGAGGCTACAGAAAAAGCCTCTGCCCCGTCGGGAATCGAACCCCGGTCGTCCAGTCCGCATTGTCTCTCAGGACACTCACTGAGATACTCCGGATCGACTTTTATAGGGGATATATACTTTTAATCTTGAAAATTTGTAAATTTATTTTATTTTTATTTATACTATATTAGTGTTTATAAATTAACAAGACACACGAAGCGCATGCTGCCTTCTGTCGTATTCCATAAAGAGAAGCAGCCCTTTGTGGGGGACTGTAATTTCACATCTAGGAGAAGGCAGGTTCACTTAGCAACAAGGGATTCAACTTTCACATTTGTTCCTTTGCAAATATTTTAACAGCAGAATCAGAGTTTGCTAGGAAGGTTAATACTACAAGAAACGTGGGTCATGGTGGAATAGGAAATGCGAAGTACGAATTAGGTATTCATTGAAGTCCTGAAGGCAGTCGTGTAACATTTTATTACGCATGTACGGAAGACGACAAAACATGAAGGAGGTTTAGTTTACCTCAAAACTGAGGCTGACAGCACTGTAAAGGATGGTATATGTAAATAGTATGATATAATTTCTACCAATGTCTTTTAACAATCGCAGCTCTGAGACCCTTTTACCACGACAGAATACGTCATAGAAGAGCAGTGCGGTATGATCAAATTCTTCAAGTGATTCGAAAATTAGTTAAATTTACTGAGCAATGACGATTATATAGAGATACTTTTACAAATGGTTGGAAAATTGGCGGAGCGGGGACTGTAAGATATGCAGAGTTCAAGACTACGTCAATCAGCGTATCAGATACAACCAAAGGATCAGTATTAATAGTACAAATCTCAAGACCTTAAATGAGCGCCACTCGTGGAAGGAAAAGGTGCGAATAAGTCTTAAATTTCAATGGAAAAATATACAAAATAAATTTATGTTGTAATCAGGAAGACTTGAGGACCATCGGAACAAACCAACTGAAAATCAGGGCGAATACACAAAATATAAACAAGGTTCAATTACTACCAGATTATTTCCTCAGTACATAAAATAAATTTTCCTCAAATTATCCTTCATGTGTATAATCGTACTTCTACCACGAATTCGAAATCACCCAGCAAATGTACTGCCCGTCTGGGAGTTAGGTCTAGATAACTAAATATTAATGTCATTCTGTTTACGCCCCTCTTGAACGTACCCGCAGATGTTACCACTTGCATACGCGTTACGTATTCATTATTCACAGGTTCAACAGCAAACAGTAGTTGGGTGAACACCGTTTCTTAGGAGCTACACCAGCAGTTCATTGTGTAGTAAGATAAATAATTAAATCAAAAACTAATAACTATTTTTAAACTAAATTGAAAGTTAACATTTAGGAGTGGTGTTTTTACAAGTCAGATATATAAGTAGAACCTACACATAGCAAATAGTTAAATCGCTAATCACTACGCTTGAGGCGTTCCTCGACGTAACCCTTACATTTAGGGAGCAGCTTCTAATAGTCACCTAGGGTACACAAATGTCATCGACAGAAGTAATGGACGCCTGCGCCAAGAAAATAAGCTCGGATAATTTTGCCTGTTGTTTTGTATGGGTACGAAACATGGTCTCTCACTCAGAGGGAGGAACACAGATTGCAGGTGTTTGAGAATCGGGTGTTGGGGTCATGAGAAAACTGCATAATGACGAGCTTAAAATCTGTACTCCTCCCCCAGTATTGTCAGGGTGATTAAGTCGAGAAGAATGAGATGGGCGGGGGATGTAGCGCGCATGGATGGGACAAGAGGTGTGCACCGGGTTTTGGTTGGGAAGCCTGAGGGGAAGAGACCGCTGGGGAGACCTAGACGTAGATGGGAGGATAATCTCAGGCGTGATCTATGGGAGATAGGAGTTGAAGGAGACTAGATTTTGTTGGCCCAGGACAGGGTCCGGTGGAGGGCTTTGGTAAATTCGGTGATGAACCTTCGGGTTCGGTAAGCCATCTAGTTAGTTAGTTAGTTAGTCATTATGGTCAACTTTCGAGAACAATATGCACGGCGATCGCGTAATTGGCTTGATTTTGTCCTAACAAAATAAGGCAGCTAATTGCATTTCCAACGAAACTTCAGCTTTTGTTTCTATTCTACACAGCCCCTTATTAGTTGACATCGTCATTAGACAACAAACAATCTGAAACCAACATCAGACCATGAAAGCAAGGAACGAACGATGGATGAATTGTGAGTATATACTCCTTTGGTGCTCAGCAAGAAGGGCTTACGTACAACGGCATTACTTTTGCGTTAGGGCTAGTCCTTTTGTACCAAGCACAAAAGATATGTTCCCCACTACGTATTTTAATATTATAATTGAGTTCATTTGAAACTTGTATTTAGGATGATTCAGCGTATTATTTTTCTAAACCCTTATAACTGAAGTGCATTTTAGAAAAAATATTTGATGGGAGGAAATAAGCTTCGAAATATGATATAGTAATTGCTGTACATTTTTCTTTTGTTAAAGGAAAGCTCTTCAGTTCTTATTCTAACAGTTTTAAAGCATTTATTTACAACCTTCTAAAAATCTTAGGCATATTAATATATATACATATATTCTAACGGAAATATACTGTGATTATTTAAACGGATTTGCCTGTGGTACACTTGAAACTAATATATAACATTTTTATATGTTCAAATGTAAGATGGAATTTCGATTTCATAATATGGCCAATCCTGGTTATTATTTTACCACCTGGGAAACACATTTCAAACGTAAAAGACAAAAAAGGAACAACTAAATATGACACTTTACAACTGACAAAATTATCTTATATCTGAATATATCACTACAATCTGTTATTCTGAATATAGATACTGAGCATATCCTTGCGTGACTATAATGCAAAGTAACGTTCACCTCTGGAAATAAACTACCCAGTGGACACTGTTATCTATTTTCTAACTATAGTCAAAGAGCGGGTCACGCGATGAATACTCTGTTGCTATGACATATCCACATGAATGGGTCTGAAAAAAACCGCTCCAATTTTTTAATAAAATCAATTTTCGATTTAACAGAATAAAAAAGCACGCAACTCCTTACGCATCCGTTTGCTTCCAAGCCATCCTGACGTCACCACACCGGCATATGTATATGGCATTTAGAATGTATTGGGTCACAACTTCGTCAGTACAAACAACTGTCTTGACTCAATTTCTTCGATTTTCCAGTTTAATATTATCGTATAACAGACCACGACTACATATTTCCAAGTCACTAACCATTCACCAGTCATGACAATTTCCCCATTTCAGTTCATTACGACGCAACTACTTCAGTTGAGAAAGTGTTGTTATATAACCCATAGAACAACAATCAAATACTAAAACAAATCCCCGTAATTGACAGTTACCTGTCAGGATCACAAAACTGTAGTTCTGTGTGAAACGGAGAACATCGCACCACGTGCTAATAAATATAACTAGGGAAGTGTAGTGAATATGAGATCACAATAAATTTATGGCCTGTATTAGACATTAACACATACCAGCAATGTACATTTGTATTATCATATTGGACGGTAATCCTGTTTCATAATTTTTAACATTAGAAACTTCTAAAAAAAATAATCGCAAAAACAATTCGAAAATTTTATTTGTTTATGCTTTCTTATGTTGAATACTACTAACTGTCAGTGAGTACATCATTTTCTACAACTGTGATTCTATTATTATTTATGGATTTAAAAGATAAATACCGAAATCTGAGCTACTGTAAACCAGACTCACTTTTATTTATTAAATTTTTAATGTCAAATATTTAACCACGGGATACAGACGAATGTGTATTTTCTTCTATAAGCATACTATCTTATCGGTAATAACGAAGGTCTCCTTCTTAACATTTCTATTTTCCTTAAGTGTGTTAGAATTCGCACCAATGTCAGCATTTACCTACGCCACACTTATGAATTGGTTTTATATTAAAATACACCACACGCAGACATTGCATTGAAGAGAGGGAATAACAGGATCTGAAGTGTGTTTAAGCATTAGTAATGATTTACTCTTACACATGTTGGACTGATTCCAAACGAGTGTGATCTCGACATTATTTTTTTAAGTTTTGGTATGTTTGTCATGTTTCTTCATTGCTGTCAAACACATCGTTTGCGTGTTCACTTTTTCGTAAAAAGGATATCTGAGTATAGCCGTATATATACCGGGAAGAAAATAACTTAAATCAAAGGAAACTGAAATCATCTTTCGGAAATTGGGGATCTTATCATCGTGACTTGGTAACAAAAGACGTGCGTGTACATCCAAACAGAAAATCAATTCCACATAGCAAAGTTTCCTGTTTCTGCAACGTAATATGTAAAGATATAAACCCAGAAAAAGAAAGGAGACTTTTTCACGACAGAGTCAAAGTCTGTACATAGGACGAATTTTAAATCATGTAAGACCCAATTCCGCCACGTTCGGTGTGGTAAAAGGAATGCTCATTGCAGACCTGGTCCATACAGACCTAAGACAGACGGATAGACCTTCAACATGTCTACCAGTTATTGGTTTAAGGCGTCTTGTAATTATCAAATTCAATGTTACCTGGATCCTAACACACTAAACAAAAATTTAATCGGAAAGTTTCAAGAGACGATACCACTTCAGAGACCGATAAGCAGATAAGATGATAATATTAAAAGGGATTGTAGAGAAATAGGTTGTGATGTGGGCTAGATTTGACTGTTTTAAGATAGGGTCCAGTGACGTTTACTTGTTAACACTAATACATAAAAGTCTGTTCATTTGATACTCAGCAGTGTGGCTGCCTACTTATAAGGAGCGAATTTGTACGAGCCTACCTGCATGGCTGGGTTGTTGCTGCATTCCCCTTCGGAGGCTACCCCTGACTAATCAGTCGCCGGTGACTTTTTGACGACCGGCAATGATGGTTGGTCGCTCGTCTCACCCAGCGCTACCGCTGTATCGCACACTGCGGGTGTAACTGTAGTTTCTGGCGACTGCGGAACGCGCATGAACATCTCACTTGTTCGGCCCGTCCGATACTGGAAAGAGGTCCTGCCCCACGATGCCACGGCTTTGCCCCACGAGGAGACACCGACGGGACACGAGCGCATGCTCCCCAGCACGCCAGTATAGGTCAAGGCTTGCCTCACACTGCACGCTGCTCGTTAGCATACATCAATACAAAAGGCATTAACTATCACGGCGCAAATTCTAGCGAACGAAAACAGCGAAAGACGGTTACTTTCTAAAAACTCAGAAAGTGCGTCGTCAACAAATCGTCCTTGTCTACAACGTAACGAAGTCAAAAAAAATTTTGTAAGATTATTTGTGCAGTTAACAATATATAAATTCAAAGTATATAGATAAGTTATTTTAGCGGTGTAGATGAAATTTGGTGGGAAAGTCATTAGAAACCTACCTTATAGTTCCCTCCTTCAACAGCTGCGTTTTGAAGATGGTGCTGTGACGTCCATGAGTTACGCACGGACCAGAAGCAATCCCTGCGGAAAGAGGACAACAGGTGATAACAAGACGAATGTGAACTTGTAACTTATTTCTGTTCATGCTTTCTTTCACAGCCTTCTGCCAGTTAAATCCTTAGGACTCGCGTATTGTAAGGATAAAATTGTTTCAGCAGTAACGTACAACCGAGGTCCTTATGCACTGGCAGTCCCAACTCTACGCCACGTTAAAAATGTGCATATTAGTTGTTGAAACTGGATTAAAAACGCTGTGGGTTACAGAGTTATTTATGAGGACCAATAAGGTTTGCGTTATGGGTAGAATTGGGTGAAATTTAGGTCGTCGGGAATATTATTGGGTGATGAATTTCAAATGAACTTTGTGCACAGATACGTTCATACTGTTACGTAATTATACGTAACAGACAATTTTCAGGAAGAGGCCATAACAAAGAAAAGATAACAAAGGAGCACGGAGATAAAAACAATATCGAAACAAGGCGTATTGCTTTTATTAGTAATCTAATTTCACATACTACTACCACTCTTTTCCAAAGCTGTCATCCGACTACCACTTGTCTGCGTATCCATCTCTTTATCAATTCAATGCATTGGAAAATATAAATTGTGCTATTCGTATTAGCAATGGAAGAGCATCTTTTGCGCAACAGGTTTCTGCTTCAATAAGGGAGATTAATAAAATAAGCTTAATTACGATACGCACGGATCACAACATAATAAACTGATTTCAATTACAATATATATTAGTGACAGTAATTGTCTATCAAAACCGTATCATAATTGACCTATTTCAGGAAAAAATGTCTCGCTTCACGGGCATATGTGTGAAACAGAAGCTGTCACAGGTACGTACAAAATAGATACATCATTTACGGACTTCCAAATATCCGGCTATTAACTTAAACCCACCGCAAAATATAAAACGCAAATAGAGGGCAGGGGCAAGCAAAGAGATTAAGACAATTACGTACATGGTTATGTCGCCATATGTAATAAAACGGACTAAAGCTATGGTGAAAACACGATACGTAGAACGAACTCCCGAAACGTCGTATATAGAAGTTTATTTACCTAAAAATTTGGCAACATCAACCATTATATTTGCATAATAAAATATGTGACCTTGTTAGATCTCCATAATGAGCAACATCCTCTATTTTAGGGCGGTACGTATCACAAGAGGCAAGATTACTGAAGAAGAGAATTGGTTTCCATGGCAACGTCGTTGGAAACTCAGCTTCTTCTAGTCTTCTTATAGTACTATCTTTAAAATTTCTTTACTTGCAACTTTTATCGTCATCAAACTAATCAGACAATCGTTAAAGCAGATCAATACGTCTAAGTGTCATTTGAGTTTAAAGATCCTAGTGCTTGCAAGTAATTACGCTGATAATATACGGAACATTTCCAGAATCTTAGTGCTTCAAACATAATCCTGGGATTAAGGGTTTAATTGCCATTATCTTGGGACTACACTTGAATGTTTCCAGGCTATACTGGAAAAAAAAACCTCATTAGTTTCCTCTTAATAGTACGAGAGACAACTAACTCAATTTAACGGCAAGTAACGAAATATTTAAATGGAAAGAGTATTTTTGAATTAACTTACTTTTAAAAGTCGTTTTAACTTGACTTTGGTACATAAATGCGACATTATGCGAACTGGAGAATACGTCATTGATTTGATGTATAACAATAATAACAAAACGAACGAAAACAAAGGAATATTCGCGAGAGAAACGAAGAAAATATTTTGTGATCGAACAGTATGAATGGCATCGTCTCGGCCACGTACACAGGTACAATGTTCCTGGAGATTTCACTCTGAACTGAAGTTGTTCGTTCATTGATTAAAGAAATAAATCCTTCCGACGTCCATTGTGTTAAAAAGTTCCGAGTAGTTGTCAGTGAGGCATGAAGTTAATAAAGTAAAGTACTGGCAGTTCGAGAAGCGTTGTGTGATAAGCCCTAGCCAATCAACATGCTGGAAATTGTTACAGACTTAGGAGAATCATGTTATCCTCACCACACGAGAACTGCCGAATTACTAGCAGCTTATGCGACTTGCTCAATTAAACAGCTTCGCCACAGACAAAACTACAGTAAATAATCGACTACTAGGAAAACTGAACGTGAAACTCTAGCTTTCAAGTCGCTAACCTTATATGTCACCCTCGAATTAAATTTAGATATTTATAATTTAAAGACCCGTTTAATATAGTCATACCTAGGTAAGCGCATATTTCATTTTCAAAACAATAGACAAAATAGAAAATTAGTTCGCCTGCTTTTGTAAATGTTGAATAAAATTCTTTGTTTTTTTCTCTCTCTCTCTCTCCATTTATACTTCCCCCCCCCCCCTC